TGTAAAACAAATCTTTGTAGTCGAGAGGGAATAGTTTTAATACTCAAATGAACTACTTCGTTTAGCGTAACACAGCACATCCGCCATCTTGGCCGGAACTCGTGTATGACGTCTAACAACGCGACGCCCTCCCGGCAGTGTGTTTTTCCTACCCCAGTTCCTGTAGCAACACGCCCCATTCCTTTCCCCTCAGGTGCATAGACAATCTTGGGTGTGATTTCGTAGGACCCGTCTCCCAATTAGCAGAACTTGGGAAGCAGCGTGGCTTTGGAGTTCCTTTAATACTGAGTGGTTTGTTTTGCTGGAGAGTGGGTGTGTCCAGCACAACCTCTATATCTGAACCTGGGTGCGAGAATTCAGTTCCATCAGACTCCGAGATCACTGCATTCTCTTGCTGTGCTTTAATATACAAATAAAATGAATCTTTAAGATGTAGAAATCAACAGGCACATCCAGCTGTTAGGTGTTCTTTTGTTACAATTTATTTGATATTTGAAATTCAAAATAAATTGTAACATTCGTAAGCAATAGTCTGCGCCGGCAATGCACAAGAGTATTAAAATGTTTACTAGAGGAGACCGTTCGTCCTATCTACTGTTAGTTGTAAATCGATCTAAGGATCTCATCTCATCCAGGTGTTTCTCGAAAAAACAAAACCGTATCGTCTTCAACTCCGTGGTTGTGTAGCTTGTTCCCGACTCCAACACCTTTTTGTGCAAAGGAGGGCCTCCTGCTCTCGGGTTTAGAATGCACTTCTAAGCTGTACAGTACAAGATGCACTCTGCACACGCAGTGCACGTTCATGCAGACTGAAGAATCCAGCTTTATAACACAAATTGCACAAATCACAATCATTTATAGGTTAATCACTAAAAAGCCACCTAAAACTGAGCACGTTATCCATTAATACTTGATTTTGCCTTTGTTGGGATTTTTGTACATAAGAAAATCACCATTTGATGTCGTACAGTTGTTATGTTACCCAGTTGCAGCTCTACGTGTGTGATAGCTCAGTATAGTGAGTGGAGTTCGGCAGTTTTTTATTTATTCATGCATAAACAATAAGAAAAATTACAATAAAAGCAAGCGTACATATAACAATTCAAGACAAAAACATCGTCAGGGGTAGTTCGTCCGCACTCACAACAGGTGGCGTGGATCAGTTCCGTTCAGTTTATTTGGTCATCTGCACGAGTGCAATGACATGCTTATTTGCATGTGTGCTCCAATGCAGAGACATTAAGGAAACGCCGAAAGATACACATAACAGTAGAAGCACCAGCCACAAGGTTAAATAACACACAAGGTAAATACTAGTCAGTACACGCAGTGTGAAGACACACACCAGTGTGAGTCAGTGGTAGGGGCAGAGTTTAGTAATCTCATAGTTTACGGGAAGAAACTGTCTCTGGGTCTGGAAGTTAGTGCATTCATGCTTTATAACCCTTACCAGAGGAAAGTGGGGGAGTATCCTTAACGATACTTCAAGTCTTCCTGAGAGTTGGTCTCTTTTATTTCCAAACTTTTATTGATCATAAAATAATACAAAGAGACAACTGAACAAAACAAAACACATACACAAAAAAAACACTGCGATCCGTAGGTAATTACAAATCTGAACACGATAAATTAAAACTTTACATAATCGAATCGGCGTTTTTTGCCTTGTTATTTTTAAGGTTGCTAATGGATTTTAAGTAATGTTGCAGTTCAATCTTAAAATCATTAAAGTAGGGAGCAGAACTGGACTATTGTGTTTTGCGTATCTACCCAGTATAACTATATAACTAACAGATTATTTATAAGAAAATGTTCCTTTTTCCAGAGTACATCTGGCAAATCATGCCATAATATCAAACTCCTTAAATTAAACATTCACGGTGAAATGCTTAAAGATGAAGTTTTGCAAGTATATCCAAAACACCTTTGTATATATGCGGATGACAAATAAATGTGTCAGAATGTCTTTTCCAGCCTTTTCCAACCGAACACACGTCATAAATTATCTTGATCATGTATGACCTTAGAAAGTGTTACAAGATAAAGCCTATGAACAAGATTAAATGTAATTTTTTAAACCTTGTTTGTAAGGCAATATGCGTCAGGAGTTGTCCAGTCTAATTTCCGGTTTATATTTTCATTCCAGAAGGATGTTCGGGAGGAATGAGGAAGTTTGGCACAGATTCCTTATCAGGACACCAGCCTCGCTCTCCGTCACCTGTCCATCCTCGGGCTGTATCCAATCACAGACGACCGTCTGACTAAACCCCACCCATTTCTCCTCCCTCACGCCAATACGGAGCGACGCTGCAGGAATTCGGGTAGAGAACAAGAAACGCGCCCTGGAGTTGTGCCGTAATGGCAAGCCTGTCATGGCTGCGCCCGTTTGACGCAAGTTTCCCTTACGGCAAGAGATTGATCTGAATCACAACATTTTTCTCTTGTACATGACTCTGATCCTCTTGTTGTATTTGTATTTGTAAATTTCTATATGTTTAATAAAAATTAAAAAAAAAAAATCTGAATCACAACAGATTTCGCCTCCTGCGAAAATTCTGACCGTCTTCAGCGGTAGTAACAGCGGACCCTAAATTTTGTCAATAAACTCAAACATGTGACTACCAAATCAGTAGAAAACCAACATAAAAGCAAAAAACAATATCTATGTAATATGTTTTACATTTCTTTGCAAGTTTCGATGTGATTTCTGATGCTTTATTTAAGAAAAGGATGGTGTTTTTTGTATATGGGAAACTTGATTTTAACTGCAATTAAATTCTGAACAAGAGAAAATGACCGTTCAAACCAACCTGTCGGGTCGTCTGGGTACTAGACTCCGGCTTGTCTGCGTCGCCTTTTCATTCCAAGCGATATTATCATTGTTCAAAAGTACTTTAGACAAAATTAGATGGGTAGAATAGGCCACCCCCGCCAGTAATCTTTTTTTCTGGGCTAAAGAAACCGCAATTAGGGGAAGTTTGAACTCAACCCTAATTTGAACGTGTTTATCCGTGCTGTCCGCCAGGGGGAGCACTGCACTCGCGCGAAGGCTGGATTGAGTGGGGCGAGAATTAGGAAGTCTTCCAGGATATAAAACTATCCCACAGACCGTCTACTGCAATACGTCATAGCCTTCTATCATTGTTTAATATGAGGAGTCAGCCCTTTAATGTGAAGTTATCTAATCCGTGTCTCCCCCAGGTGATCCAGCCAGCTTCGTAAATGGTATATAGATCCGGTCGAATTTCAATTATGTAATTAAAGAGCTTTACTGCAGTAAAATTGTTTGTCGGGGCGGATTGGAGGTGCTGTGTGACTAATGATGCGCTGTGCTGGGGGGCCTTGTAGTTCAGCCCCGAAGCCAATGGGTTCGCCGCGGAGAAGGTGCCGTAGGTGCCACTGTCCACACGCCACTCGGGTGATTGCATGACAACATGTCTGCTGTGCGCGGGCTAGTGAAGACGACGCACGAGGAGTATGCAGCACGGTTGTTTAATTGGGTGCAAAAACCACACGCTAATTACACCCTCGCCTTTGTTTTGCTTCAAAAGGAATTTCCGATATATTCCCTCTCTCTCTCCCCTCCCCTATTTCCCCTCCCTGTGGCTCCAGTATTGTGAACTGTATCGCTGGGGGGTGACTGTAAATGTAAAAAATGGGAGATCCCACCTGCTCTGTCTGGTCGGGGATCTGCTGACGGCTCGAGAACAGACGGGGTTCATTCTCGTGGGGATCCCTGTGCCTGGGAAGGGTTCGGTGTCTCTGGGAAAGACGCGGCCCGGAACGGTCTCTCCGCGTTTCCACCTCTGTAATTTTCCCCGCAAAGTGCTGAAATCAACAGGAGGTGTGTGTGTGGGTCTGACGTGCAGGAGAGAAAGTGCTGCTGTAGGAGCGAACAGGCTGATACCTGCCGCCACCTCCCCCGCCGCAGCCCTCCGGACTGGGAGGCTGGAGATGGGACAGAGGGACAGCTGTGTGATTGAGCACCCAAGAACTCTAAAACCGGATGGGAACAAGATGTGACGGGAGAATGCTTGTATTATTCATATTTGCATTTTTTTCGTACCGTTATTCATTTCTTTCGCTGATGCCTTTATCCAAAGCATCTTACACGTGGACCCATGTATTCAGTTGGCTGCATCCGCAGGGAGAGAGCCACTGAGCGCTCTGTCCTGGGCCCGTTCCGCCTGTGCAAGGACAGACCCCCCGCCTCTTCCTCAGAGTCTCTCCTGTCAGCTCTGCCCGGGGTTGTTTTTCTCATACAAAGTTCTTTTGTCATTTATTTGCAACTGCTCTTAACTGGGGGAGGTGGTGTTTATGGGGTGGTGGGGGGTCATCGTCAGACGGGCCTCATTTCTGGTTTTAATGAGGTGAGGAGAGACGAACGGACCGCTGCCCTGCTGCCCGCTCCCCCGCCAGCTCAGAACCCGCTCTTCCTGGGCGTGCACGGGGGGGGGGCAGACTTCACACGGCATTCCTTTTCCTTTCTCCGTCTGT